GTTTTCATATTGTAAGATACTGTTAATGATTACTCATTAATTAATCAATTACTTGTGAATGCTTATATGCAACTATGTCACTAAAAAACTATGTTTTTTGTCCATTCACTAAATTTTAAAAACTGTACATGCACTTCTGCATTAATTTCAAATTGACATATAAAATAAACATAAGCAACTAGAGACCATGTCAAGCTACACATTTTTCCTGCTTCTTAGAAATTAAAAAATGCTACATTTAATATTTTATTGATGTAATGCTTAAAGGAACAAAAGTGCATTAACCAAACCTATTATTTGATTAATAATAAGCCTAAAATCCCAAGCCTCTAATCATTTGGATTCTGAACCCTTAAACCACCATATTGAGTGTTTGAAAAATAAAAGTCCGTGTTGTCTCATATTCCAGATATAAAGGTTATTGATATTCTACTGCCACCCTTGCATTTCATACCTTGGCCCATTATCAAAGAGACTGAAATATGAGCAAATGGAGAAAGTTTCTTGCCAGTGAAATAATTCAAAGAAATTCAGAAATCTGGAGTGTCTAGGTGCACTTGAAAATAATTGTAGACTTGCAGACCCTAAGGCATAAGACATAATTTTCACTGGATAGATTTTAGCTGATGGAAGAATTTTCTACTACGAATCTGAAGCCAACATGCCATTTTGTTAAATGTCATCATTAAATATTTATTCCTCATTTTCCCTGCTTTTTCTGAAGGCCTGAGAAAACCAACATTAGTTGTTTTTTCTTTTCTACAATTTAATATTGCAATGTGAGCTTGAGTTTTAAATTTACATTTAAAGTCTTTAACAACACTCGAAAATATATATATTTAAATTTTGCAAGAGAATGTTTTGAGTGAAAGCCAGGAGAGTTGTACAGACTGGTCAAGACACATTAATCCACCTCCTTCAAATGTGCCATACAGAAAATCCAGCATGACTAATCTACTCTTCAGCTTGACAGAGACACAGGTGAATATAACCAATCATTCTTTGGGTGCCCCAATGATTATCTGCTCAAGTAATGGAACATAAAGGGCCCTAATGGTTGCTGGCTGATTCTGTGCTTTAAGGTTAGAGTTCTGGAGAAATAGAACTGCATCTTTGAACACTGTTAGATTTCTCTTATGTATAGAAATTTGAGCCTAGTATCCTTATCAGTTTCTCCAATACATATCCTTTGAAAGCAATTATTTGCAGTTACTCAGTTGAAGATTTTATGGTATTACCCATTCCTCAATTATATCTAACTGGCTCCTTACTTACTGGACTCACATCTTTAAAGGAAGATACCCCTAATATTATAAACCTTAAAATGGCTTCAGTTTCCTGTTACCACTCATTTTTTGTTTCTGCAAAATAGCTGAGCTATAACTAGAAAGGGGACCATTAGTTTTTCTTTCTTGCACTTATAAGTATAAATCTGCCTCATGTTTAGACAACATGAAATGACTCATCAGTCTTCTCCAACAAATCTTCCTGAGATAATGGAAATATTCCATATCTTCACCGTCCAATACAGTAGTTTCTTGTCATATGTAACTAGAGCTCTTAAAATGTGGATATTGCAACTAAGGAAACTAAATATTTAATAATTTAATATAATTTTGAGTAGCTGTGTCTACCAGAAGCTATATATTAGACAGTGAAGTCTGGAGAATGTAATTAGAAGGCCACTGAGTTGGCTCTTCCATCCAGAAATTCTTTTATGACCCTTTAATAAGTGGGATCCTCAGCTGGAGAAATAGTATGTGACATAGGGCACTTACCTTGCATGTGACTGGTAACCAAGCCCTTGATTGGAACTCTTGCCACCACATATAGTGCCTGCACACCACTGGTTGTGCCTCCAAAAATATCTTGTCAGTACATAGGGAAAACTATTTTCCCATGATTCGTATTTATAAACAGTGTCTTCTTCTCATATGTGAAAAATCAGCATAGGTTAAAAACATGCATCTACAAGTTTCCATTTTACTTCTAAAACAATTAACCTTAGTGAAAACTGTAAAGAACTGGGGCAACGGGATTGGAGAGATCATACGGAGGCAAAGGCAATGGTAAAGGTCTCTTGCATGCGACCAACTCCAACTTGTTTCTTGGCACCACCTAGGGATTCCTAAAAAACACCAGGACTAAGCCCTGAGCACAGAGCCACCAGAAAGGCTTGAATACTACTGTATGTGACCCTCATAAATTAATCAGTACATATGAAAATGATTTCTTCATTCCTGTAATTGGTAACAAAGCTATAATTCATAATTTATCGTTAACTAAGTCAAAGGTTAATGCTATGGAAGTCTATGACAAGGTGAGGATTGCTGCACTTTCTGGTGTGCACCTGCCATCTAGTGACAGTATATATAATTACACCAGGATAGAGCTCCCTGAATGTTAGAAATACTAAGTCTACTGGCGCTTTACCAAGTAGACTTCCTAATATTTTGACCCAATCAACCACACATGCCTTAGGATTTTGAACTCATCTTCCATTCTAACCCATTTCACTTAAGGTTCATTACAGACTATAAGTCTCTGAGAGCTAATAATATCGTAGCATCATTTCTATCTTAAAATCCTTCTATCTATGCATTTACTTATTTTATTAATCTTTAATTAGAGAATTAATTTTCAGCACCATCAACCATATCCACACGATAACCAAGCTCATTGAGGTTTCTCGGGAGTTCAAGATGCCGCTCTGTCTAACGTTCATTGATTTAAAGAAGGCCTTTGATTCTGTTGAGACGGAAGCGGTCATTGAAGCCCTAGCCAATCAGGGCATTCAAGCCCAATACATCAAGATCCTCCATGAGCTGTATTGCGGATTCACTACCAGGATCTCACCATTCTACAAAGAAGTGATCGTTGATGTCAAGAGAGGGGTTCGGCAGGGTGATACCATTTCACCGAAACTCCTCAGTGCCACCCTCAAGAACATCAAGCGACGACTGGAATGGGAAGGAATAGGAGTGAAGATAGATGGTCGGCAACTACACCACCTCCACTTTGCTGATGACATTGTTTTAATAACACCAAACATTAGCCAAGCGGCACAAATGCTGGCCAACTTCGACCATGAGTGTGGAAAGGTAGGACTACAGCTGAATCTTACGAAGACAATGTTCATGAGAAACAGCCTCATTCCTGACACCCCATTCGCTCTCAACAGAAAGACCATCTCCAAATGCAACAGCTCTGTGTACCTAGGTCGAGAAGTCAACATGACAAATGACCTGGCACCCGAGCTGCGCAGGAGGAAGAGAGCGGCTTGGAACGCCTTCAAGAGCATCGAAGAAATAGCTAAGAGGATGAAGAACCTCCGGCTCCGGGCACATCTCTTTGATTCCACTGTTCTTCCTGCATTAACATACGCCTCAGAGACCTGGGCCCTATGCAAACAGGATGAGAACGGTCACGTAATGAGATTTAAAGACGACCGCTGGACTAGAGCTGTTACCGACTGGATTCCACAGGATGTCAAAAGACCTCGTGGCCGCCCACCTACCAGATGGTCAGACTTCTTCATCAAGATCATGAACAATCGGTTTGAGGCTCTTCGTGTTCCTAGAGTGAACAGACGCCATTGGGCTACACTAGCACGTGACAGGGACAAATGGAGACATTACTGGTGCCTGCTCAAGCAAATTGACGATTAACGGGAAGTTAATGGTGAGTAGGATAGTTGATCAAGTGATCAAGTGTGATTAATCTTTAGGTAACATGGTTAAAGTTTATGGTATTTATGTACAAAGTTACTGCACCCACCATCCCTGAAGTGCCAGAAACCTCCACTAACTATCCCTCTGACCAACCTCACAACTCCCATTTCTTGCTTTACTGCTTGGTAATTGACCCAGTTTTTTTTTCTAAAACTATTTTTAATTTACATAGGTACAGAAACAATATGTGAATTGGACATGCATTTATTCTCCTACAGAAACTATCCTACTCACCATTACAAATGTGCAAAATTGGTGTTACTGATATCATGGATAGCTTATTTTTAAATAGATTCCCAGCCCATCCCCACCCCAAGAATGAGTGGCATACTCATTGCCTCTTTTGCAAACCACAACACCCAAAAGGAGAGAGAAAACAAAAGGAAATTCCCTGTCACAGAGTCAGGGTGGGATGAGGGGGGATGGGGATGAGAGGGATACTGGGATCCCTGGTGGTGGAAAATGGGCACTGGTGGAGGGATGGGTATTTGATCATTGTATAATTGAAGCCCAAGCACAACTGTACCTCATGGTGTTTCACTAATAAAAAATTTAAAAAAAAAAAAGAATGAGTGGCTTAGTTAAGGAAACAATGGAAGCCGTTCTATCCATATTTTTTATATCACTCTAATGAGGCTAGAATAGGAGAGCCATAAGTTTAAAAATAAAAAAAGGTAGAACCAGATATCAGCCTCATTCCTTCCAGTCCCTTAAACGTGGAATGCAAAATTTGTTAAGGACAATAACCCCAAAGCAAAATCAACACAATTTCTCATGTAAATGAGAGTAATGAAATTGGCCTTACCTATCAAAAATATAGCATTTCCTTCAAAAAATGATTTCAAAAAGAAAGAATAAATAGCAATCAAATAACCTAATAATGTTTTCTCAGGTAGTTTGGCAGAAAAGATGTGACAGGCTTAAGTGAGGACACACACACACACACACACACACACAGAGGCCCAAGCTACCTGGAGCGGCTCTCTGGGTTTGGTTGGCACACTGTGCTTGATTCATACTATAAAAAGAAATCAGCGTCTTCATTGGGATCTGGAAAAAGCAAGATGATTTGGAGTCTATAATCCAGGGAAGATATACTTAACGATTTCGGGGTGAAAAATCTGGGGGACTGATTTAAAATAGGTTTTGGCAGTAAGAAGAAGAGGAAGATCAACTTCCTTTATGAGAGAAGAGATAATTATATGGCTTTAAATTTTTGAGAGAAGTAGAACTTTGATAAATAACTGAGCATGCAGATAATGGCTCAGTATGATGCTATACCCCTGTGAGGATGAAAATAAGGATTCAATGGGATGGGAGACAAGAGCAGGTAAGGAAGCTTTTTCATCTTCTCTGAGACTACCTTCAATCTCTAACTTGTCTTCCCCTTCTTTCCGCCTGTGCTTCCGTCTCTCTCTTTTGTTATACTGATTCTCATTTTCATTAGGCCATAACATGTTTAAAATTATTACAAGAAATTTGCTGCTTATTATAATTATTGAAGATCTAACATTGGCAAGTTGAACCTCTGTATGTCCTTTTACACAATAAGTCTCTAGTGAAGTTTCCTCTTAATTGTCTCTGACATTCAAATTGTTTACTTGTTCCAAGGTTGGAGAGAAAATACTATGGGTTAAGGAGCTAGCCTACACAAGGTCAGCCTGGGTTTGATTCCTGAATTCACATATGTCTCTCTTGACAACACCAGGAGTGATCTCTGAGCTGAGGGCCAGGAGTAAACTCTGAACACTGCTGTGGCCCCCAAACCAAAGGAAATAAAAAAAAATTGTTTTGTTGTTTACACACAGCTCTAAATGGGTGGGGGAAATGGGGAGTTTACAAATTGCAGTTATCCATCAATTCAAAGCCTAACAATCTAGAGACTCACTACTCACCAAAGCACTTTTATAATTTGTGTTCATTTATGACTGTCTAAGTAGGGACTGAGCAGAGATAAACCCTGTCGTAATGTGGCTTTAGAAATGATTCCTCTTGGGTTAGACTTTTTTTTAAAGTTAAAAAGTGACTCAACGTTAGTAATCATCTTAAAATAGCCTAAAACGGGTTTTAATTATTTCATAAATATTTATTTAAACATGTACAATTAAGTAACATTTGGAAAAGCAGCAAAACTTTGGGTAAAACTTTGGATAAACTCTTTCAAAGACTGACATATGTTTGAAGACTGAAAGATGTTGAAGTTATACTAGATCACTATTCTATTTGTGACCTTAGAAGCCCGTTAGTCCCTAAGAGGCAAAGCATTGGGTACTGTAGCATCAATTATCAGTAGAGGGACAAGCTACACTGTCTTCCACCAAACCCTGGATGTTCATTCCTTAGTGGACTCCAGGGACCTTCGATCTGTCCTCACTGTGGGAAGCATTTTGGTCTGAATAGGGACTTCATTTCGTTTTCAGCTTCTTCAGAGTGGGAGCATAGGTTAATATCCATATAGAAAATTCTGATGATTTCAGGAGAGCTACACTCTTTTCATGCTTTACATGTGCAAAATAGTAGTTCTTTTGGGAGAGAGTAGCTTGCTGTTTAATGCAACCCCAGAAAGAAAATTGCAAGGACATGAGCTTTCTTCAGTGATTTCTTTGACTGATTTATGCAAATCAGGACATTTTTTTATTCTTCACTAATAAGAAGGAATTCCATTCAATATACTTGCTCTGTGGGGTAAATATAAGTACATGTGTGTATGTGCGTGTTTACTAAAAGTGTCCTTGAACATAGTAACTGAGCATTTAACACCCGCATTTACAGATTGGGGGGGGGGGGGGAACCTCAGCATCATTCGTTAAGTCTTTGTTCCGTCTCTCATAAATCAACCAGGACTTTAAAGGTCCGTTTCAGGATTCTTGGCACTCTAGAAGCAGCTCTAGACCTCAGTCAGAACTGCCCGAAGAATTGATGTCGACCAAAGAAAACATCGCAGTGAAGACAGAACCCCGCAAACACACCTGAGGGGCGGGTGGGGGTGGCGGGTGGAGACGGTCAGGCAAAGTCCCCCTTCTTTGTCGCCCCGAAATAAGGCAAGTGCCGAGCGTCAGCTCAGCACGTGCGCCCCTCAGCCCTGCGCCCTCCGCGGCCCCGGACCCCGCCGCCCTCGAACCCCTCCTCGCCCGGCCCGGCGCTTCTCCCGTTCAACTCCGCGTCCGCCCTCGCCCGCCGCTCGCGTACCCTCCCCCCCGCCCCCGGCCCCCACTCCGCCCCGCCAGCACCCCGGGGGGCTCCGGAGTCGGGCCACGTCCCCAGCGTGCCGGGAGAGGCCGCCTGGGGGCGCAGCGGGCCGGATCGAGGGACGGGGCGGAGGCTCCCGCCGCCGCCTCCTCACGGTCCCCTCAGCCGCCGCCTCCTCAGGGTCCTCTCAGTCGCCGCCTCCTCACGGTCCCCTCAGCCGCCGCCTCCTCAGGGTCCCCTCAGCCGCCTCCTCCTCACGGTCCCCTCAGCCGCCGCCTCCTCGGGGTCCCCTCAGTCGCCGCCTCCTCAGGGTCCCCTCAGCCGCCGCCTCCTCAGGGTCCCGTCAGTCGCCGCCTCCTCAGGGTCCCCTCAGCCGCCGCCTCCTCAGGGTCCCGTCAGTCGCCGCCTCCTCAGGGTCCCCTCAGCCGCCGCCTCCTCAGGGTCCCCTCAGCCGCCGCCTCCTCAGCGCCGCGTCGCCGCCTGCCTCGCGCCCTCCGCGGGCCCGGGAGCCCCTCAGCGCGGCGGCGGGGCCGTGGGGGGCCGCCACATGGGGACTTAGCGCCACGGCGGCCGCAGTGGCCGCGGCGGAGCCGCCCGCCGGGCCCGTCCCCCCGGGGGCGCGGGGCGCGGCCAGCCCGGCCCCGAGCCAGGCGGGCGGGCGGCGGCGGCGCGGCTGGAAGATGGCGCCCTCGGGCCCGGGCAGCGTCCGGCGGCGCTGCCGGCGGCTGCTCTACTGGATCCCGGTGGCGTTCATCGGCCTCCTGCTCGGCTGGTCCTACTACGCCTACGCGCTGCAGCTGTGCCTCGGTGAGTGGCCGCCCCGGGACGCGGACGCCGCCCCCCGCTCTCGGAGCGCGCGACCCCCGGACCGTCCCGGGACGCGCCCCCGCCCCGGTCCCCTGAGCGCGCGCCCCCCCCCCCGACCGTCGGGAGACTCGGACCCTCCCGAGCGCTCGCCCCACTCATCCCGTCGCCACGCCCCCAGGACCGTCCTGGGACGCGGACCCTCAGCCCCCGGGGTGCGAGTCTCCCGGACTCTCCCGGGACGCCGACCCATCCCCCCGGCCGTCCCGGGACGCCCACCCCCACCCCCCGCCACCTCCCGTGCGGCAGCTCCGAGCACCGCGCCGACCCCGGGCGCCCCCTGCAGTGCCCACTGAGCACCTCTGTGCTGCCTGCCGGGGGGACCCCTGCACCTGCAGCGCAACTCGGGCGACCGAGTCACCTCCACGCACCCAGCCCCCTCGCGCGCACTGCCTGGACAACCTCTCCCCCCACCCCCCGCTCCCAGCCGAACCCCCTCCCCGACACACCCCCCTCCAAGCCCCGACCGGACCGTCCGAGGAAGGGGAGGCCCCGAGGCTGAAGGGCCCCGCACGAGCAGAGCTGGCTGTGGCCTCGGTGCTGATGCGAGCCCTCCCCGAGTTGTCCCCTGAATCTACTTTGCAGGACGTTTGGGGCAGCACTCGAGGCGGTTGGCTTGATCTGGGTGGGTTGAAGGTGCTGCCTGGATGATTGGAGGGTTTCCAGTTGGACCCTTTCTAGTTAACGGAAGATGGGGCGGTGGGAGCGTGATGAGCTTCTAGAAAGGATTTTCTTAGCCCTGTGCAATAGGCAGGACCAGAAATGACATGCAAGGACAATGGGAGCATCAGTAAAGAGGGCCCCTTCTGAGGTTCGTTGGCCTGAGAGCCCAGGGCCCAGGTCCGAGTTGTAGGTCCTCAAATCATGGGTTGAAGATGCTGTCAGTGGTGATGACTTTTTTTTTTTTATTAGTGAAACACCATGAGGTACAGTTGTTGATTTACAAATTTTTGTGCTTGGGTTTTGTCTATACAATGATCAAATACCCATCCCTCCACCAGTGCCCATTTTCCACCACCATGGATAATATCCCTCCCCCTACCATCCCCCCCATCCCACCCTGCCACTGGTAATGACTTTTTAAGCACTTGATTTTGCTCCATTCTGGACTGTAATTGTGTTCCCGGGTGAGAACAGACTTCTACCACCATTAGGGTTTTTATGAAAACTGATCAATGTTGTCAAAAAAAGATGTTAAAAGAGCTTTCTGCTGAGGGTGTGTGTGTGTGTGTGTGTGTGTGTGTGTGTGTGTGTGTGTGTGTGTGTGTGTTTCAACCTCTGGATTCTTGGAGGGGTGTGTGTGGGCCAGGGAGATGTGGTGTTCAACCTAAGAAAGTAACTTCTGCCCTGCACAATTTGAGTCTTGGGACAGAGACAGAATGAAAAGTGGTCTGTTTAGGAGAACCTTCTCAATCCTTCTCAAAACTTCAGGATTCAGACTCCAATGTGGGAAGTCATCATACCTAAAAATGTTACTCCTTGTGAGAAATCGAAGGTGTCAGTTTAATGCACCTATTATGCTAATACAGTATAATCATCACTTATATAACCTTTAAGAGAATTACACTAACTTCCCATTTGATTTGCTTTTAAGACTTTCTGTTTTGAAGGGAGAGAGAGAGAGAGAGAGAGAAAGAGATTCAAGGTCAAGGACTGGTGGGAATGCTTAGAATGCAGGAGGCCCTGGTAGATCCTGGTACCAAAAGTCATTGGAACATGTGATATTCAAATAATGCACTAATATGTATAGGAAGAAAGTTTTTAGAAACATTGATACCTGGATAATTAATAATTACTAAAATAGCATGCCTTAAGTAGACTGCATGTTACATAACTATTAAAAACCTAGGTTGTATATCCTTTCATCGCCGTCTTAAAAGCAGTAACCAGTTCGTTTGTTTTTTCTTTAATTTTTTTTGAGTCATCATGAAATGCAGAGTTATAAGCTGATTATGGTCTGTTTTCAGTCAGGGAGTGTTCCAACACCCATCCCTCCACCCTGTTTTAATTAGTGTAACTGGTGCAAAAGAGGAAGGTCCTCAGAGGCCTTCAATTTCCAAACAGGCAATTGATTCTCTTTTGTTATCACATTAGACTGAGGGGCTGGAGCAATAGCACAGCAGTAGGGCGTTTGCCTTGCACGCAGCCAACATGGCCCACCCGAGTTCGATTCCTCCACCCCTCTCAGAGAGACTGGCAAGCTACCCGTGGCGAATTCGATATGCCAAACACAGTAACAACAAAGTCTCACGATGGAGACGTTAATGGGCCCGCTCGAGCCAAATCAATGAACAATGGGAGGACAGTGACAGTGACGGTGATTAGGCTGAGATGCTTAGCCTGATGCAATGTCTTCTGTCCATAAGGAGGAGCATGTGAGGGCAGGGAAAGCTTTACTTACTTCACTTCTTTTGCAAACACCCTCACATAGGTGCATGGGAAATCTTATTATACTGGGTAGACAGGTGATGGGGGAGGAATATACTGAAAAAATTATTATTTTATATGGACCTTATATATTTAAGATAAGTATAATCCACATGTATCCATGAAATACATATCACTTTTATATTGACTAAGAGAGAATTTTTTTTCAAATTTCCCAAGGAATATATATTATCAGTTACTCGTTACTATACCTGATTATAGCACAGTGGGTAGGGTGTTTGTCTTGCATGCTGCCGAGACGGCCGACCCGAGTTCGATTTCTCCCCCCCCCCCCCCTTGGAGAGCCTGGCAAGCTACTGAGAGTATCTCGCCCGCACAGCAAAGCCTGGCAAGCTACCCGTGACATAGTAGATATGCCAAACACAGTAACAACAAGTCTCACAATGGAGACGTTACTGGGCCTGCTTGAGCAAATTGATGAATCTTGGGAGGACAGTGACAGTGTGAGTGATACCTGATGATCATAGTGGCATTTCCTATCATTTCTTGTTACTTTAACCTGACGCAATGCATGTTATGTTAAATGCAATGAGTGGTCTTGAATGAACAAATAAATTATTTAGAGGCATTATCTCTGAGATTGTCAGAAAATTTTATCATTTTTTCTACGAAAAATGTTTTATCATTTTTTTCTATGAAAATAAATAGTAATTGTATGGAGGATCTCAACCTAGAGTATAGAGAAGAAGTTGAAGCTGAAATTTGGGTTTAGAGACTGACTATGGCATTTGGAAGCTTGTGTTGCTTTGGAAAGGTGGGAAGTTGAAATTAACTGAACAATTCTTTTATAGTCACTAGGAAAGATGGCAGTGTGTCAGACACACAAAACCCGTATTCTTCCTTCCCATGACACAAACAAAGCAAAAGAATGCCAACTTTCCCTTTCCCTTCCCACCAGCCTTCCTCCCAGCATTAATTACTTCTCAGACTGCCCTGTCCTTTGTGGAGTCTTTCCTCTTGTAAGTTGCAATTTATCATCCAGTTTTCCAAATTTCATCTCTCAAACATTAGCCAGGCTTGAAACCAGGTGGTGGGGGCCTGGGCAAGAACTGCAGTAGTTAACAAACAGAATAGAGCTAACAGGGTGATTTATCCTGGTCCTCCTGCATCTGCTGTCAGCTGGGGATGACCCTGAATATAAATTATTCTCTGCCCTTTGCTGAATGAACTGTAATTTAGGAGTAGTGCTTATCCTGGTATCCATGGAAACTGGAGATAATGATTCTCATTACAGTTTGTTTCTATATTTAACAACATGTATGTGTGGCTCTGTAGGCACTTTTTCAGTTAGCATAATGTTTGCTTAGTATTTGTAGTTTATAAAAATAAGTCCATACTTCATTTTGGCATGTGTGTATTTAAAATACATAGAATATGTATTTTGTATAAGTGAAATGTTTGGGGTAAGTTTCCTTTCTGAACCACCAAAGAAAGGATAGGACTGATAATTCTTATAATCATTCAAAATGTGTTTATTTATTCTGTTAACTAGGCTCTTTTGTTCAGCTTTTTCTTCCAACATCCTTCTCTCTCCTTACTGCTCTTTTCATGCTTGTTTTTTGTATGTCTTATCTGTCTTGGATCCCTTTATTAGTTAAGATTAGATCATTTTCTATAAATAAAGATAAATTCAAAAGATAACATTTTAAGATGGTATCTGTGGATGTGAAATTAGAGTAAAAGTAGTGTTCAGCCTCATCCATGCTTAAGTGATGTGCATACTAGATATGCATGTATGTTGCACAGATCCATATAGCTGTTGGACTGTTACTGGGTAGCCTTGCTAGTTAAAGAAGACAACTGAAGTTTTCCTTTGTAAGTACAAACATTTAGAATTTTTGAGCTACTTTATATTTTTTAATTTTTCAAGGAGTCAGTTATAAAATCATTTATAAAGTTTGTGTGAAATCATAAAAGACCCCGTATAGACGAAACCATAAAAAAATAAAATAAAATGAAAAAAATAAAAAACTGAGAGAAATCTTACTACCTAACTGTTGAGTCTCTACTATAGAGCCATAGCAATCAAAACAGTATGGTATAGAATAAAAATATTATTTCTAACCAATGAGTCAGTATAGAATATCTAAGGATAAACCCCCATATGTATGGTCAGATAATTTTTGACAAAGGAGTTGAGAGCATGAAGTGGAGTAAAGAGAGCCTTTTCAACAAATGGTGTTGCAAGAAACTAAAGCTGGGTCCGTATCTCAGACCTTACACAGAAGTCAGTAGCTTAGACCTGAATCTATAAAGTACACTGAGAAAAATATAAGCAGAATGCTCCCAGACCTAGACCTCTAAGAAGGCTTTAATGATATGATGCCATTGGCAAAGTCTACAGAGTCAAAACTAAACAAATGGGACTACATCAAACTTAAAAGTTTCTGTATGGAAAAAGAGACATGGGCTAAAACTAATGACAGCTGAGTGGGAGAAAATATTTGCACTCAACACATCAGATAAAAGGTTGATATTCAAGATTTTAAAGTACTTAAAAGATCAACAACAAGAACAAACCTAAAATCCCCATCAAAAAACAGGGAGAGGAAATGAACAGACACCTGTCTGAGGAAAACACATGGATGGTCAACAGGCACATAAAAAAATGATCATCATTACTTATTACTAGAGAAATCCAAATCATGACGACAATGAGATATCATCTTACACCAGTGAGACTGTCACATACCAAAAATACTAAGAACAATTTCTGTTGGTGGGGTGTGGTTAAAATAAACACTCATCCACTGCTGGTGAGATTGTTGTCTTGTTCAACTCCTATGGAAAACAATATGGAGGGTATTCAGTAAACTCAGAATTAAGCTCCTATATGACCCAACAATCCCACTTTTGGATATCTTTCCCCAGAACAGAAAAATATTCATTCAAAAGAACTTATGCACAGCATTATTCATAGCTGCACAGTACAATAACTAAGATTTGGAATCAAGCTAGATAATCAACAACAGGTAAGCAGATCATGAAGATGTACTGTACTATATATATATACAACAGAATACTGCACAGTATAAAGATGTTGAATATAAGGGATGATGAAATCATGCAGTTCGCTGCAAGACTTGGATGGAACTGGAAGACATCATGTGAAACAAAGTAAACCAGAGAAAGGATAAACACAGGATTATATGTGGCATTTAGAGTAACTGGTTGAGGGAATGCAGTGTTCTAAAGGGTAGGATACCGAGATCAACCTTGGTTCCATAGAACAGGAAGGAGAAGGAATGAAAGAGTAGAGTGGAGGAAGAGAAGCAACAAATGAGAAGCACCAGGGGCCAGGTCAGGAGATTAAGGTGCAAAGGTAGTATTAAGGAATGACAGCCAAATATGAAAATCACAGAACAACACTGAAATTAAGAGACCCAAATATTAACAACTGAACCTAGAAAGGTGCATGTCAAGAGGGCAGGCTGGGTGACTAGAGGTTATATGGGAGGGAACCTGGGAACACTGGTGGAGGGAAGTTGACACTGATGGTGGGATATGTGCTGAAATATAGTATGTCTAAAACCCAGTGATAAGAAAACTCTCTAAATCATAGTACTTTAATAAAAAATAAAATTTTAAAATTTTATTAAGAAGAGAAAAAATATTAACTACTTGCTAAAGTCTTTTCCAGTAATTAAGCAGAAGATGAGAGAATGCTGTTCATGAGAAATCATTACCTAGGGAAGGTTGAAATCCATTTCAGGTAGAAGGTAGAAGGCTTGAGTAGGGTTTATTCAAAACCATTTATTGAAAAATGCCAAGTACTTTCCCCCACAGAAATTATTTGGAGGATTAAGTCAAGATTTTTTCCTATTAGCTAAGGAAGAAACGAAATTGCCTCTGGGTGGGGAAAAACAGGAAGTTCCTGTCTTAAAGTTTGACTTGGAGACCATACCAGTGGTGCTCAGGTCTTACCCCTGACTCTGCACTTAGTGATTATTCCTGGTGGGGCTGGTGGACTTTATGGTATGCTGGAGATTTAACCCTGATCAACTGTGTGCAAGGTAAGTGTCCTGCCTGCTATCCTGTCTCTCCAGTCCTGGACCCTTCTCTCTTGGGCATGAGGAGAAAGACTGCACTCAGCAGAGTACCAAAATAAACAGAAATAGAAAATGAAATCCCACCCCTAAAAGTCTGTGAATTAATTGCTAGGTTAATAATCAGGGGAGCACGCGGTGCTCGCCGACTCGGTGCACCTCGCCTGGAACCTGACTGCCACCCTGGACGCGGTGGTCTTCTCCAGAGTCACCAACAACGTGGTTTTGGAAGAGCCTTTACTAGTGGGCATTGATGGCTTGCTCAAAGGCAGCACGTACAACCTTTTACTCTGTTGTTCCTGTGAAGTTCCTGTTGGTTTTCATCTATATTCAACCCATGCTGCCATGGCTGCCTTAAAAGGCCACTTTTGCCTTTCCAGTGACAAAATGGTGTGCTATCTCTTGTCAACAAAAGCCATAGTGCCTGCGTCCAAGATGGAGATTTACAACATCCCTCTCGAAGAGAAGGTGTTGGAGCTGAAAGAGAAGATAATGTTAACACATGTCCGCTTAAATTCACTGATGAAGATTCCGAAGGACGTGGCTCCTGTGAAGTCCAAGACAGAAAACTGACCCAGGATCAAGAGTCAAGGATACCCTTGTACGCCGAGTACAAGGGTCAGAACATTGCTGTCTGTCCTTTCAGCTGGAATTGCCATCTTCCAGTAAATTGTAAAAATGACCAACACAAAGGGAATGAGGAGGGATACCCGCTACATGTTCTCTAGACCTTTTAGAAAGCATGGAGTTGTTCATTTGGTGACATTCATGAAGATATGCAAGGAAGGTGATATTGTAGACATAAAGGGAATGGGCACTGTCCAAAAAGGAATGCCCCGCAGATGTTGCCAGGGCAAAACTGGAAGGGTCTGCAGTGTTACCCAGAATGCTGTTGGCATTGTTGTTAACAAACAAGTCAAGGACAAGATACTGACAAGAGAATTTATGTTCATAATGAGCATTATTATGCACTCTTAAGAGTTGTGATGACTTCCTGAAGTGGGTGAAGGAAAATGGTCAGAAAAAGAAGGAAGCCAAAGAGAAAGGGACTTGGGTTCAACTGAAGCACCTGCCTGCTCCACCCAGAGAAGCACACTTTGTAAGAACCAGTGGAAAGGAGCCTGAGCTGCTGGAGCCCATTCCCTAGGAATTCATGGCATGAAGGTGTTTGTTAAAAATAAGGAGACTCCTGGACTATTTTGTTAAAAAGAAAAAGGAGCATTGCTGTCAGTGAACTGGTGCTGTTGGATTCTTCTAGAGGCTCCCCTTCAAAATAAGAAATGTGGTTTATTATCTCTAGCTTCTTGTCAGTTTCATAATTTTTCTGAAAAAGTTGGTTGCAGATTTGGGGATTGAAAGGAATGGCCCTTGAGTACTTTGACCTAAAGATCCATAATGAATCTAAAAGTGAGCTGGATTGAATACTGACTTTTTGTGGGGAGCAATTGTTATGTAAATATTGAGAATCTTTTAAATGTAAAATATTGGACACACATAGTCTGTAGGCAGTGGTCAGTAAGTTAGTCAACTGGGTAATATAGTTTCTCATGTAATGTACAGACAATATACAGTTTTCACATGTAAATTGAATTTTATGATGATAAAACATTAAAACATTGAATAACTGCCAAAAAAATAATCAGGGGAGCAGATAGAAGGAGGTGACAGAAGTACCTCTGAAATTCTAACCAGATTAGACAATTTACACATATAAATATCTTAGAGTAGACAGGACCAGCAGCTTTTTCTCCTGCTAAAAACCAGGAGGGTGTTTCAGCAAACCCATTTCTTCCTGGGTGTTTGGGAGATATTTGCCCTACTCTTAGCTCAGAATAGGTGGGGTGGGAGGGATACTGGGATCATTAGTGGTGGAGAATGGGCACTGGTAGAGGGATGGGTACTCGAGCAATGTATGACTGAAACACAAGCATAAAAGTTTGTAAGTCTGTAACTGTACCTCACAGTGATTCACTAATAAAATATTTTTTAAAAAAAGGAGTAGGGCAAACAGAAGTGGGAAGAAGTGTTCCTTCATACAACCCAGTGAGTCTAAGGAAGTAAAGAAAGACTTGCGAACATAGCTCTGAGAATGAGTAGACATCAAGAAAAGTGGACAAATGGAACTGACTGCACCAGAGCCATGGCATTTGAAGGAATCACTGCCTTGGGGACCAGCCATCCCACAGCCTGGGAACTTCCACCATTCTTGTGATTTTGTAGAAATGGCTCTGGTGTCAAAGGGCCAAGTAGGAGCATCCAGCCGGCTGAGTGGAGGTGACTGCATCCATATTCCAGTTGCCAGCATTCAGACGAAACAGGTGTTTGAGTTTTTTGGCTTTCATGGTAGGAAGGATTGCCAAGGAAAAAACAACAACAAAAATATGTCCCAGGGATTGCTGTGGATGTAAACTTCTCAGTGAGACCATAATTGGTTATTTTTAAAATCTAGGTGGAAACATATGGCTTTTATTTTCCTCAAGAAAATGAAATCATGACTTAAATTTTATAGCCATGCAGCAGATTTCATGTTTTTTATGACAGATATTATCTCTATCAGCTTTTTCTCTGGGAAATGGTGAGCTCAAGGATTTCCAAGACCCAAGCTCTTTGAGTGATGGTGGTATTCCCACCATCTCATCTCACTTGCTCAAATATAGATCGAGAACATGGCATAGATCCTTAATGTTTTTTGTTGGGAAGATAGTTTATCAGTGATCATTTTTATAACATCTTAATATTATGTTTAATCCTATGGCTTTAAATTCTGACATATATATAGTAGTAATTTATGAAGTATGATATGGTTGAATATTTTCCTCAGTAGCATATTAGAAAATTGTTGTGGGGCTGGAGAGATGATAGTACAGTACATTACATGCTTACCTCGCACACACCTGATCCAGGTTTGATCGCAGGCATCTACATATGGTTCTTTAATCCTTTTCCTGAGCACAGAGAGAGGGGTCAACTCAAAATACCACTGGGTGTGGCCCAAAAACCAAATCAGGAAATCCCCCAACCCAGAAAATTGTTAAAATATCTTTCTAATGCTCATAAAGTAAGCACAGCGGGTAGGGCGTTCGCCTTACACGCGGCCAACATGGCCGACCCGAGTTCGATTCCTCCGCCCCTCTCGGAGAGCCTGGCAAGCTACCGAGAGTATTCGATATGCCAGACACAGTAACAACAAAGTCTCCAATGGAGACGTTACTGGGCCCGCTCGAGCAAATCGACGATCAACGGGAGGGCCTTTACCTTACCTTACCTTTAGATGATTGTCTCAGTCAGCTACTGAGAGAGGAAAGAGTTTGCTAGACAGGAGATGGCAGGGGGTGAGATAGGGGCAAACAGCTGGAAGCAGAGAGTGCCCTGATATGTTTTATTATTATATTTCTCCCCTTCCCTTCCCTTGTTGGTATTATTTTGGTCTCTAGAGGTCACATACCTAATGTCAGTGTACTCACCAGGGTCACATACTTTGTTGTGGTGACATAAATCACAAATAGCACAGTCACCAGGATCACTCTGGACCATGTGGGAAGAAGTGAGAGATCAAACTTGCAGCCTCATGCCTACAATGCAGGTGATCTAGCACTGAACCACATCCCTGGGTGCTGGTTTCTTAAGAAACATATGGTAGCAATAAAGTAATAATCCATGATCATTTAAAAAAATTTTCTTTCAAAATTACACCCCAGTTTCAAATAGTTGTGTAGCATTTGTCCTAATTTGACTTTTCTTCAATGACTTGGACTCATTTATAAATATCAGTGCTGGAAATGTTTTAAGATTCATGTTCACTTGAAAGGCACTCTTAAAATTATGTGCTGCACTTGTTATCTTAGCACTTCTCTCCACTTCAAAAGGCCTACTTAATAGCAGTTCCTTTTTGATGTGTTGTTGATTACATTTCAAAATCCAAGTGTAAAAGTGCTTTTATTGATAATTGCATTTTATTTGCTAGAATTTCTCCATGGTATCCTGGAATTGCTTCTTCCATTAAGTATTCCTAGTATACTTAATTTGACCTCTTTTGATTTACATTCTAGCCTTTCTATCCAAGAGGAGCAGACAGGATTGATACAGAGGGGTGGATTAACAAAAGAAATGATATTCCACACAAAACCTTTTTCTCTCAGTGCTTTTCAAACAAGTATCCAAAGACTACAGTATTTTCAAGGTAGTTCGCTTATCTTATAGTAGGCATAATTCTTATAAAAAATAGTTTATGTTTTTCCAGAAAAATATAATGTGCTTTTGCAGATTTATTTGATTATAATTCAGTGAGATTTGGGAAACCAAAATGCTTTGTCAAGGTTATTTTTTTAAATAGAGATGTAATTTGATTTCTGCCTCTGCTGATGGCATCATATAAAAATAGGTTTCATCATATCTATCGGGTAGGCTAACAATAAAATGACTTAAAATAAAGACTGGCACTGTTCCTTTTTAATCCTGAGGCTTATTTCAAAAAAGTATGTGATTGAGTCTGAAGTGTTGCTTTTTGCCAAATTTGTAAGGATTTGAGTCTGACTTTGTAGAGTCTTTGTAGAGTCTTTGCACATGCTTTTCACATTGGTAGTACTTAAGTGGACAAAAAAAAAGAAGGCCCGTAAGCCTATAACTGTACCTCATGGTTTTTCACTAATAAAAAACAAAAGCCCGCTCTAAAACTCTGATTTTGAGCTCTAATGAGAGGTACCCAAAACCACTTACAGAAAAAGAAAAATGTTTTAATTATAAGTTTCAAATTGGAAGTCATAAATTGTAGAGACTAATTTGTGATTGACCTTTGTAACAAGGTGAAAACTCTATGTTATATATTTTGGGAAGAAAGGCAATAATGGATTCATGTACTTACCTATACATAAATATATATTTACATACATAGCTGTACATAAAGATCAGTGATAATCCAGGACATCTTGAGAGGACTCACTTCATGGGGAAGGATGAAGGACAGAGACCAGTTTGAGTTAATGTTTTAATTCTTGAATAGGTACATTTAAATGTGTATATTTATTTACTTTTAATTCTTTTTAGTTGTTTTTGGTTTTTAATTTTTGGTCTTTCCAAATGGAGCTATGGAGGCCAGAGGGCCTTCTTGGGTGATTCTCAATATGAGAAAAATATGAGCAGGAATGTGCAAACATTTTAGAAGATAAGCTGGAAGATCATTTGGGCTAAATCAAAAGGGAGCTAGGAACCTGGGAGGCTCTAGGTTTCAAGGTTAGAGTGCTACAAGAAAAGGTCACAGGTTCTAAGGGTCATTACATAGGGCTCTGTGAGTGCTCAGTAGCTTTGTGACATGCTTTGGCTTATGTTTTAAAATGATTCTTTGATCTTTGTGTAATCTAAGCTATTTACTCCATAAAGGTGAGAAACTACCATCAGTTCCTTCTAGTGCAGGCATGGTATAAAAGTTGAGAGATGGTCAGTTTCTGGATTTTGAGTTTTTTATATGATGTTTGAATTTTTTTGTTGTTACTCTGTTTGGCATATCGAATACTCTCGGTAGCTTGCCGGGCTCTCCAAGAGGGGCGGAGGAATCGAACTCGGGTCGGCCATGTTGG